AGTAAGTAAGTAATTAACATCGTATTACCTAATTTAGTAAACACCTGAAAAGGCCCACAATGCTCAGGCCCACGTCAGGCACTATAAATAGGTCACACATAACGAGGTATGTCACTGTTCATTTTTACCCTAGATATTCGTGCATATACTGACTTGAGCGTCGGAGTACCCTTTGCAGGTACCTCCCCCATCCCTTGGAGATATCGTTGGAGCTCTTATTCGGTCCCCTTTCACCCAGAAGAAAAGGAGTGTGCCCTCAGACAGGTACAGTTGTGTATTTTATTTTTTAATAGTTTAAATATGTTTTTAGTGGTAAATTTGTTTTTAGTTTTTAAATTTTAAAATTATTATTTTTAGTTTATATAATTTTTAAAAAAAATTATTTTAGTTTTTATATTTAAATTTGTTAAGAATTTTATTAAATATTATTATAAAATCTACTTATTCGTGTTTCTGTTAGTAAAAATATCATGTTAAATCTGGTCGATATTGCATAATCGTCTTAATTAGTCATTTTTAAATATATTATTAGTGATTTAAGAGACTAAAATAAATTTTTTAAAAATTACAGGGACTAAAAATAATTACTTTAAATTTAAGAGATCAAAAATATATTTATCTTAAATTTGAAGGACTAAAAACATATTTAAGTCTTTTCTAATTAATATGAATTATATCTATGTTCTTTTAGTCGTTAAATTAATTTTAAAAATTGACAAACTAAAATACCATTTCACTTGAGTAATTGTTATTATTAATAATAAATGGAATTGAAATCTTTTATATCTTTATATTTATTTAAAGGTCTTTATAAATTATTGTTGTTTATTTAATCTTTAAATTTCAAAATTTTGAATTTGTAAAAATAATTAATTTTTATTATTTTAAAATTTAAAAGTAAAACAATCCAAAAATAATCCACACAAAAATAAAGAATCATTTTTATATATAGGTATAGATTAATAATTAGTAACAGAGTGGGCTTATCATTTAAAATATTTAATATAATATCACACATAATGAATTGGAAATTAAAATTAATTATTTAATATTTTCAAATTTTATATTGTTAACTAATGTCTCATTTTTAATATTTTAAATGTTGAATGATCTTACAAATAAAATAAATTATGTTGGAAGAAAAATATTTATCTTATGCAATGCTCATTATTCTTGATTAATCACTACTTTTAATAATAAATAATTCGTATCAATGACATAATTATTTTAAAAATAATAATATCTCATTTAACTATAAAATAATAACTAATTAGATTAAAACAATATTATTTTTTAGGTGTATTTTCTTTAAGATATAGTCATATTATATTGATTCATCACAATAGCTAAAAAACTTAAGACTTTTTTTCATCACATCAAATTTTAGTTCATTTATTTATATAAATATGAATAACTTCTTGTTACTGGGATCACAATAGATTTCTATCAATTATTATATTATTTTTGTAACATTAAAATCATATATTGTTTGCCTTTTTAAATATTAAATATATTGACATGTATAAAATGTTAAGCCTCAAAATTTATTAAAAATCCTTATTTTTTCATTCAATTTAATTTATTATCTTTTACAAAATTCAATTTAATCTTTTATGCTTTTAAAATGATTGTTTCTGTCATGTTTAGGTGACTGTCATTAAGTTTTGAAATGGAAAATGTTGATGTGGCATTAACGTGACAAAGTAAATGAAATGACATAGTTTTTAATAACTTGAAAATTGAAAAATCAACGGTGAAATTGTGGGATATCACTTACTTTAAGACTAATAAAAAAACATAAGAAAAAAAATGAAGAATTCTTTCACAAGTTGCACTTTGATCCGACAACACAACCCCATAACAATTGAGCTCAACACATCCTTTGGGGGTTTAACCAGTTGATATGAAAACTTTAAGGATTATGGCAAGGCAATTCCTTGCGTGCCCTTTCGGAATAGAGGGTTTGGGTGCCCTCTGTACGGACAGCCAATCAGGTAATGACACGTGGTCACTTACTCCATGTCATCGAGGCTGTTGAAACTTTAACCAGAAATTGGGTAATTGGATCTGATCCGCCCCTGCACCATGATCCAACAAACCAACCCGAATAGAGGGTCCCCTCTTTTGTCCAATTTGTAAATGCATGGCACCTCATTTTGTTTGCATTGAAACGTGGCTCCATCTACTTGTCTTTAATCGAAGCTTGTTTCCTTTCGGGTTTCGTTGGGTCCATCTTCTTCTCTTAAGCCAAGGTTTTTTCCCTTCCCATCCTCGTGTTTCGTTGGATCAGGTGTTGTATCTGCGTTTCCATGTTTTCCTTTCGTGTTTCGTTGGATCCTGTCTTGTATGTCCATTTCCATCTTCTTCTCCTCATGCATGTTGTTCTCTATTGTGTGTTTTTCCTTGTGTTTGTTTCCATTTGAAAACCTTGCAGGTTGTTGTTGTCATGAAAGGTTGTGTCGATTTCCATTTGAAATCGATTTGAGTTCAAAAAAATCACAGCTGATTTTCCAGTTTTGTGTGTGGTTCCAGAGGATACGCACCCGTAATCTGAAGTGAACAGTTAGTGGTAAGTTAGATTTTGCTGGATTAAGTCGTAATAAGTTTGCAGTTGTGGTCGGATTGTATTTAATTCGCTAGTCATCTACTGTTGGTTTGACGAATGACAACGATTGTCTAATAATTAAATGTGGTAAGTTATATTTTGGCATATTATAGCCTTGTTTAGCTTCTGTTACTACTTGTAACCTTCATGCAGTGTAGGATTGTTAGTATTGAATGTTCATAAATTTAAGTTTGAAAAAAAAAACCGAGTTGAACTAAATAGTTTGTGTTGCATTGAATTTGGACTATTATTCACTGTGTTTGGGATAATGTGTATTTTGGTGAAATATATGAATGAAATGTTTGATAATTTTTAGTTTGAAAAAGTACGTTGATTTATATGAATGTTATTTTAGTTTTTGTTGTAGTTTTTCGGGTAATAAATTTGTTATAGTTTATAGTTGTAAAATATGTGATCAGATATGGATAATTTATATAATATAAGTGTTAGTGAAACAAATATGTTACGTGAATAATGTTTAATTTTTTTCCATTAGTTGATTAAGTAATTTTGTAATGCAGATGTCTAACCTTAATGACGAAGGGTTTGTTAATTTAGATGATGAGAAGGAAATGAATGTTTCTAATAACAATGCATCAGATGAAGAAAGTAGTGGAAGTGATGTCGGTTTTGGTAATGAGGAAGATGATGCGCATATTGATATTAATCATAATGAATACAAAAGTTTTATGGATTTGACTGTAGACGACATATTGGGTTTGGAATTTGGTAGTGAACATGATGCATATAAATTTTACTTTGCATATGGTAAATTTCATGGTTTTGGGATTAGGAAGGATGACATTGGTCATGATGCAAATGGCAAAATAGTAATGCGTCAATTTTTATGCAATAAAGGGGGCTTAAGAGACAAAAAACATCTTATGAGAGATGATAGAAAAAAGGGGCATAGGCCTCTTAGTCGTACTAATTGTAAAGCCAAACTTCGTGTACGGCTTGATCCAAATACAAGTAAATGGAAAGTTGTGTCATTTGAGGAAGGTCACAACCATGAGATGTGCCACTCAAATTATGTGCCATTCATTAGGACTTATCGCGGATTGTCAAGTAGTGATAAGGGTCAAGTTAATTGTTTGCATGAACATGGGGTTAGAGCATGCCATATAATGGGATACATGATGGACCAAAAGGGAGGTCATTTAGGCATTGGGTTTAATAAGAAAGACCTTTTTAACCACATTGAGCGATATAGACATTCTAAAATCCAAGATGGGGATGTTTTGGCTGCCTTAAGTTATCTTCAAGGCAAGGCTGATAATGATCCAATGTTTTATGCTAAATATATGTTAGGAGACAATGGAAAAATGGAACATTTGTTTTGGGCTGATGGTACTAGTAGGTGTGACTATCAATGTTTTGGCGATGTTGTTGCATTTGATAGTACCTATAAGAAGAACAAATACAACAAGCCTTTGGTAATATTTTCTGGAAAAAATCATCATGGGCAAACTGTTATTTTTGGTGCTAGTTTGATTTCTGATGAAACCACCGATACTTATAAGTGGGTGTTAGAAGCTTTTTTGGAAGCTATGTCTCTTCAGCAGCCTAAGGGGGTAGTGACAGATGGTGATGGGGCTATGAGGGAGGCAATTAGGCAAGTATTTCCTATGGCAACACATAGACTTTGTGCATGGCATCTACAAAAGAATGCTTGTCAGAATGTGAAGAATTGCAAATTTTTAGCTGATTTTAAAAAGGCAATGTATGGAAAGTTTACCCCTGAAAAGTTTGAAACATTTTGGAAGGAAATGGTTAGCAAAAACCAGCTTGAAGGCAACAACTGGATTTTGCAAACGTATGAAAAAAGGTGTATGTGGGCAAATGCTTATCTACGAGATAAATTTTTTGCTGGTATTAAAACGACGTCTTTGTGTGAAGGAGTAAATAATTGTATTAAAACTTATGTGAGGAGGAAAAACAGCATGGTTGAGTTGTTGCATAATTTGGAACAATCTCTAAGAGATTACAGGTACAATGAATTGATTGCTGACTTTAATTCATTTTATACAGAACCTGTTTTGACAACTTCGCTTCAAAAAATTGAGAAACAGGCTGCAAAGTTATACACACAACATGTTTTCAAGTTGGTAAAAGCTGAGATACTTGATGCTGGGGCAATGAATGTAGTTGAGAGGACTGAAAATGGTAACAAGGTAGTATTTAAGGTGGAGAAATACTCTGAACAACATCGTATACATGAAGTTGTGTTTGATACTGAAGAATGTAAATTTTTTTGTGATTGTATGTTATTTGAATCTTGTGGAATTCCTTGTGGGCATATTATATGCTCAATGCGGCTAGATCATATCACCTTGTTTCCTACAACATTAATATGCAAGCGTTGGATGAAGGATGCGAAGAGTTCAATTATTTCGTCATATGATGCAGGGAATAATGATAGTGAGATGAGTAATGTGGCACGTCTTAGTGTTTTGGCTTCATCTTGTAATAGACTTTGTGAAATGGCAGCCAAAAAACATGAAACTTTCAATTTCATCAGGGAAGAGATTTTGAAGTTACTTGGAAAAATAGAAAAGAAGAGTGTTATTGGATTGGATAATGAAACATGTGATCCTAATGTTGTGAAGACTAAAGGAGCCCCACAGAAAAAGAAGTTGACCAAGAAAAGGAAATGCTCAAATTGCCATAAATGTGGGCATATAAAATCTAAATGTCCTTTGCTTGATTGTATAGAAGATAATTTGATTAGTATTGACGAATGGTTTGATTCAGGGGATGATGGGGTGCAAGACAATGTAATTTTTATAATTCAATATTTGCGTAAATTATTTGTAGTTGAATAATTTTTTTATATAATTATTTTTAATACATGTTAATTGCAGGTGCAAGAAGACATTCGTCGTAATGAGTTTGACATGAATGATAGTACAGATGCAGAACAAAGTTCCCAAAATTATGTAATAAGAAACATGATGTGTCTATGGGTTTGGTTTAAGTTTTAGTTGATATTTTTTGAAGTAGAGATTTTGACTTTATTTTAATTAAATGATTTACAGATACGTAGAAGACAAATTAGAGTTGGGGGAGGTGATAAGGGTCAGCAACAAAGATCCTGAAAAATGGAGATGGTAAAGGATATTGTCCCGATGGTTGTGTATGTTACAATTATTAAATAGAATAAATTAAATTTTGGTATCAACATTATTGTTATTTATGATTTTATTTATTTTGTTTATTTTTTAAATGTGATGAGACAGGGAATTGGCGTTGGGAAGTGGCTGGTAAAGTGTGCAATGGATGAAAAGTAAAAAAAATTAAGAACTATGTTAGGGTTATTCTTTTTAGAGTAAGTTTTATTTGTTTGTGTTGGGGAAAAATATCATGAATACAAAAAAAAAATTAAATGACATTTGTGATTGAAGGAAAAGGCAAGTGGGAATATTGGTACAACTTCTATGGATGATTTTAATGAAGTTGGAGTAACGGCAACTGGTCTTCCTTTCAGTTCTAGTCATGTAGGTGGTAGGCATGATTTGGTTTTACGTGTGATACATAGGGATTGTGGTCCTAGTGATATGGGTGAAGGTCCCCAGTTAGATTTGAAAATATGTTGTACTGAAATTATGTGTGTGGAAGATTGTTTAGTTGTATGAAATTAACATTATTTTAGTAAATATTATGAAATATTTTATTGGAAACATTCATGTGAATGTGAACAGTTCTATGAATTACAAACACTGATTAATTGTTAATATTATTAGCAAAATTACTTTGTTAACTAAAAATAGAAGTAAATGACATATTTAATGTATAAAATTTATTTTTGTAATTTTATAGTTAAAAATGTTGAAGCGAATAAGATGATGACTAGGACTAAATTTAAAGTAAGTTACAAGTGGATAGAATAAAAAAAAAATATTTGTTAACATAATTCTTATACTTTTATAGTAGATGCATAATTTTGAAGATAAATATTTTTGTAACATTAGAAAATTTTATTAAGACTAAAAATGATATTGGAATGTCAAGTTATTAAATTACACTAAAATGATAAATTTAAATGTTTTAACTATATTTGTATGATAACAATGTATAGAAAATATATATGGTTTGAAATTTTGTTAGACAAAAAATATATATATAACATGATAATAAATAACGTAACCGTGAAACTAAATTAATGTAAATTTAGTATAGGTTAAAATATAAATGACAAAGGAAATACGAATAAAAATGGTATGTTTCTGGGAAAATTTTATAATAACAAATTTTAGTGAAAAAAATTGTATTTTAAAATAAGTAATATAAAATATAAATGAAGATAATAAATAAGGTACTTTGGAAAGTAAATTTTTGTTTGTAGCAATTCTTCAAAATATAAATGCCAGAAGTAATAGAAATTAAAAAAAAATTGTTACTATCATTAAATTTTAATTATAAATTTGAATGGAAAAAAGTATTTTATGATATTCAGTGTAAAAATAAAAATAAGTTATCACATAGTATAATAAAAAAAATTAATTAATTTTTTAATAATTAGACATGTTTACGTAAAAGGTTAGAATTTGACCATTTCAACACTCCCCCACCCCCGACTGGATCATCTTCCCTAAATCCAAGATGATGCTTTCAATTATGAAGTTAACTTATGTTTGAATTGCAATTGTTTGTCAAACAAGTCAAAATAGTATGTTTGTGGGATATTTTTATAATTACAAATTTCAGTAAAAAAAATAATATTTTAAAATAAATAATAATATATATATATATAAAGATAATAAATAAAGTATTTCAAAAATTAATTTATGTTTGTACTAATTGGTCAAAATAAAAATGGCAGAAGAAATACAAATAAATCAACAAAAAAATTGTTCATATCATTCATTTTTATTTATAAATTTCATTGGGAAAAAGAATTTTATGATATTGTCTGTAAAAATAAAAATAAAAATTTGGCAGTATAATAAAAAAATTAAATTATTTGTTAATAATAAGTCATGTTTTCTTAAAAAGTTAGGGTTTCAATAGCTTACGAAGTTAAAAAATATTTAACAAAAACATTGATAGTAAATACGGTTTAGGTAAACATAAGGCGTAAAATGAATAGGTAAAAGTATAAAATATGAAGAGAAATTTTGTACGTGAAATATTTATGTGGTCTATTGTGTTAAACCCTAAAGTATAAAATTAATATAAAAATTATTCAATTCAGATAATATAACATATAGTCCATTATGAAATTGTACGACATTCGACCTACCTATGGAGTACATGGTGATCCAGAAATCATAAAAACATACATACAGATAAGATAATGACACATACTTGAATCGCATGCATTGCGTTGATTGAGCCTGCAAGTCAATATCACATTCTACAACATACTACCTAGGTATGGATTACATGGTAATCCAGTAAACATAAAATCATATGCATACAGATAACATAATGGCATGATATACATGAACGGATAGGCAAAAAAAACCAAATTATATATATAACATGCATATATTAACAAACCAGTGATTGTTCCAAAAAAAAAATACAAACAAGAACATTGATTGAGCCTACAAGCCAATATCACATTCTACAACATACTACCTAGGTATGGATTACATGGTAATCCAGTAAACATAAAATCATATGCATACAGATAACATAATGGCATGATATACATGAACGGATAGGCAAAAAAAACCAAATTATATATATAACATGCATATATTAACAAACCAGTGATTGTTCCAAAAAAAAATACAAACAAGAACATTAACAAGTTCAATAAATTACACAAATGGAAGGGACGCAGATCAAGCCCGAGTCACAGAAACCTCCAAAACCTCTCCCCCTTCCTTGGTCCAAAAGTGAACCTTATCATTCACATTAAATTTGCAAACACGCTGGAAGTCATACCATCCTTTTGAAAAGAGGCCTTGGTATGGATACCACAGTATATGCCATATAGCCTGAGTCCCGTTTGGGAGAATTACATTCACCGAATGTGGACGATCTCTAAGATATTTGAATACCGCGTCAGTCGGTATTGCCTACAAAAATAAACGAAAACAAATATGTCAAACCTATACGAGATACAAAATTATCATACTTACTAATTTTTCACTTACAAATATGTTGTAGTTTTATTACTATGTGTAGCAACAAAGTTAACATTATCCTCACCTAACATGTAGTACACTAGTAGACATGTCAAAATTTAGTATTCTTTCTCAGAATTGTGAGACTCACGGACCTTGCATGGAAGTATAAGCCACGGATGTCCTTTACTAACTTTGGAATAGTGTATTATTATTTCTCCCTTCTCACTTCTCATATTCCCTATTCGTAAGCCACATATGTCCCCAGCTGTCATTCGAATTGGGCATTCATACCAAGTCACATTTCATGTCAATCAATTTTAATTTTTCTTTATGCATACCACACAAACTTATACTGGAAGCTTCCGTCAAAACTCCTGAGCATCATCATAACCCACATCCACTTCACCATTGTCACATGTTAGTCACCCACATTCAATGCGCATAGATTGTCCCGCAACCATAATGTATACTGAATTTGTTTTTTATTTATTCTTGCTATGATTTCATTTTTATCAATTTAAAAATTAAGTATAAAATTTTAAACGTTTTTTTTAATAGGGTCAGCATACATGCATTATAAACCATTTAGACAGAAACAACCCACCTCTCTTAATTTCTACCTCCTTGTCATACCAAACCCAAGTCCCAAATGGTGTCCCAATACAAAAAAAAACTCAGAGGAAGCCAACCGTAACAAAAAATCCAACCATTTGAACGCGTAGCAAAAAAGCGTCTAAAATGAAGGAACTTATCGAGATTTTCTCTAGGTAAAATAATATTTAAACTCATAACAAATTATTTTCGTTATCCACTTTAATTTTGTTATACCTTTCAGTTGTGTATTGTAGTTTACATAACTACCATATATTTTGTTTTTGTTAAATGATTCCCTACAACTGTTATCAATACCGAATATTACATTTAATACTGTACATGCACATGCACATGCATTATCTTTTTCATTCATTGTGCCCTTATTTAAAGTAAGAATCCAAATTGTCATTTTTGTCATTTTTTAACAGCTTTGTAGAGAGCATTCCAAATTTGGACTTTCCTAATAAAGAGACCAACTCACACAAATCTGGTGCAGACATCTCAAAATGCAACAACCAAGACAAGTCATCCATGCAGGTTTCGAATATTATTTCATTTTTTTTACCAAGTCGAATCAACAAATAACTTTTTGCCTTACAAGTAAAAGTTTGTGTATCAGGATGGTATAGCAGAAAAAATATGTAGGCTAGCGTCATCTATGGAGTTAGTTATTAATGGATTGAACAACCTTACTAGCATTGTTGCTCCCCAAAGTCCCTTACTCATGCAAAAATGTCGTCAAACACAGTACGCACGTGAGACTGTTACACATGAACCACATGCTTCTTTGACCAAAGTACGCTAAACACCAGGCGCGTCTTCCTTAGCAAAAAAGTTAAAAAAAAATGAAAACTAGTCAGAAAAAGGAATTCATCAAAAGCGACACTCTCAAAAAAAGGTTATTCTCAAACACAATTACTGGTAAGAATTTTAGAGTTTTGGTAGATATGGAACCCTTGCACAGTGTTAGGTTTGATGGACTCAAAGCAACCGTTGAAATACTAAAGGTAATATGATATTTTGTATTACTTTATCTTATATTTTTTTTAATATTTATAATAATAACCATTGTTTTGTTTTGCATAACTAAATTTATAGTGGATACCGATGACATTTTGACTACCACCCGATATGGTTTTGGATGATGTTCAAGTAGCTGTTGCAGCTTATGTTTTTTGGACAAACAAAGATAATGAACTAAATGAGTATTTTTATTTATGTTACGAAACTTTTGATTTCCTTTCTTGACATTTTAACAAATTTTTTTTGGACAATTTTTCAGGAAAGAAATCATTGTAACAACAATTTGGAACACAATTGGCGATAGGGAAACTCTGAAAACCCTTCTACCAAGGGGTCTACTTGATCAAGAGACACTCTTTTGTTTCACACATGTTGTTTACCATATCATAAATGATTTTCTCTTTTTAATATTTATTTTTAATGGTATCATGTAGGTCCTTAACTTGGTAGTATGCATGCTGACACATAATCAACGAGCAATTTCTCTAGATGCTACTTTTTGGTACTTCCTAACAACCTTTGCGGTAAAAACCTTTTCAAACAACTATTATTTTCTCCATATCTCAATCAACACTAGTACCATTGAATAGCTTAAAACCTTTTTCTATTTTTTATAATATGTGATGGCTTCGACTACACCACCAGACACTCTAATGCATTATTATCAAAAGGACTTCACGGGGAAGATGGACTACATTTTCAAGGTGAAGTCTTCTATTTAATAATGTTTGTTTCAAGCTAACCACCTTTTTTCAGTTGATAACAATGTACTGATGAATATGTTGTTTTAAATTTAGATATTTGTTCCACTAAATGATATGAATTCGCACTGGTTTCTATTGGTCGTTGATGTAAAGGAGGCAAAACTACTCATGTTGGATTCCAAACCAGACCCACAAAGATTTGGTGCTAGAAAAAGACTAGTTAAAAAAGTGGTACTTTATGATGTGTCAAACATAAACAATATAATTTTTTTTATATCA